CTGTCGCGAAGATTACAGGTTCAAATTTGGCGGGGCCCACTAAACGCACATTCTCTCAGCTGCAAAACGTTTGCGAGTAGAATAAAACTTTTTATGTCAATATGTGGCATTTTGTTGTGTTTATGTGCCCGAACCAAAAACCATCCTAATCACATTTTTCTCAGGTAACCAAATCTCATTGTCCACTGAAGCAATCGTGCCTCTGACAGAAAAGTCTGGTGGAATAATTTCCAAGCATCGGGGACCCCGGGATGGGGCCAAGGAGTTTAGACTAGTACTCTGAACTCAGTTGTCTGATTGCGCTGGTCTATCAGGGACACGTCATGGCTTTTGAAAATTCAATTCCATTGTGCGGATACTGAGCGCCGAATTCGACAGGATACACACAGCCGGTGAAGCAGTTTTACAATCATTAACTTTTTTTTCTTCATCTTCGGGTCACACTACTGACATCGTAGGTTTGCACCACAATAATAGCCCACAAAGAACTTGAAACTGTCCCCCCACTTGACTGCAGTAACACGATGAAAAGTTTTACAACATTAACTTTTTTTTCTTCATCTTCGGGTCACACTACTGACATCGTAGGTTTGCACCACAATAATAGCCCACAAAGAACTTGAAACTGTCCCCCAACTTGACTGCAGTAACACGATGAAAGAGGTCTTAAATGTAGAGACACGTCTGCTTTTCGTATTACACGGAGCAAAGTGTAGAGACGGTTGTTTAAACCGGTCGTTCCTCTTGGAACGGTGAGCGGGCCAGTGAGGCAAGTTGACGTGATCATGTCGTAGAATCTACGACGGTGGCAAGGATGTTAATCGCCTAAACCAGAGAATTCGGTTTGCCGTCTTGGGGTCTTACATGTTATCCTCGTAAGTCATCGTTGTACACCAAATTTTTGTGCCCACGTTTGCGAAAAGAAGCGATTTCGTGGGTTGAAACGATTGCACCTGGATGGGCGAGAAGGAAACTAATTCAAAACGGGTGATAACTGCTTTGCATAGAGTGATTCTTTTAAGTGTATCCCAGTGAACAGAAGTGACCCTTTCATGATATTCGACTAAACAAGTAGCATCGTGGAATGCACGACGTGCAAGTTTGATTCGACGAATCGTAATAGAGCGTGTAGTTTGCTGCACTGGAATGAATCTATAATAGTTCTTTTTGGGTACCCGGTCGAACAGAAACTGCCCGTGTGCCAGTAGGATGGAAGTTTTTTATCTGAATGAAACCAACATGATGAGATCGATACCTTTGGAGTGAACAGAAAGATCGTGCAAGCTCCAGCCGGAGAAACGATTGAATTTCGCACTAACTTTTGGATACCAAATCAAGAGACAACTCGACTGGGTCGATGCGTGCAACATAACGGATATTTCACAAGCATTGCGTGCGGCGTCATAGAAGAATGCCTACTAAGACCAGCAAAAACGATAGGGCACAATACTCATAAGTTTATTGAAGACTACCTTGTGGGCGGCTTGTTACCTCCATACTGTGTATTAACATACTGGCTGGTCATATCATACTGGCGGCCTGGATAATATCGTAAACAAGAAATTCAGTTCGGTCTCATGTGAAATTAATCAAACCGATGTACAAACTAGTGTACTTCGGTAAGCGGACCCGTATCAATCAGCATTCACAACGAGACCGGAACTCTTGAACCGAAAAAACAAACTAACTCTGAGACATGGTTCGCAAAGACCGTGAGTTAACACCTGGTTGAAGGTAAACATCAGACAAGTGCGAAGTATGTGGTGAGCTTTACACAACAACCTAAATGCATTTTGCATTCTTTGAACAATTCTTTAGTGGAATGAAAAAAATCGTCCAGCTGTAGCAACCTTCCGGTGCCTAACTGCCATGCCACCCGAAGGTTGCCCGGGGGCTTGGATACTGCCAGGTTTCTCAAGCCTAGACAGGTTAACGGTCAGGTTCGAACCACGGACAGTCCGGTCAGTAAATTCGCGCTTTAACAACTTGGGCCACCTCGCCTCATCAGTGGAATGAACACATAAACGAGTAGCTAAATACGATCGAATCCCCACAGATGAGTGAAATTGGTAGGTTTTGAGGAGGATGACTCTGCAATGAGTCTTCAAGAGGTGGCATAAACAGAAGGGTATCTGAGCTGTCATGAAGAAAACGTTTGCGTGTCATTCGTTTCCGTCAGTATCATGACACGGCAAGCGAGCTACAGCAGGATATCCTTCAAGCTGAACAGTGTAGCGAGGCTACGGTGTTCTCAGCAACCTCATTGATGGGACTTAAAGTCAAGAATGATGGTTTTCGCTTTAGGTTTTGTCTGGAGGAAGGAGTCTTGCACTATCCTCAGAGTAGGTCCTGTGTGCACACACTTGCGGCCATGCAAACATGATGGAATGTCCTTGGCTAGTCCCTTCGTATGCTTCATACAGTTATTCGTAGCTAACTATGACTGATGGTAGACCGAAGTAACAATTACGGTTAGTGACGAGTCTCTTAGTTCTTGAACCCTAATGAATTTTCCGATGAGTCTCATCAATGGATCAAGCAAACGTTCGAACATGAAGAGGAAATCAAGACAAGCAAAGAATAAATCTGGAAAATATAAAAACGACTATTTAGGTGGGAAGTTTTCCACGAGGACAACTGAAGTTTCGAGCCTAGCAGCTGAAATGCCAGTTGGTGTGCGAGTAAGAAGCAAGAAGCTTCGTTTTATATGCATATTTTTTCTGTGTCACGAAGCCAGTGGTGGCCCTGCATCACATCTAATTTTTCCCATCGCATAGCTCTCACATCCTGCCAAACTGGACAAGAAGATTTGTTTGCTGCCAATGCGTAGCCTCCACGGCGTGGCCGTCATTCCACTATTCTCTCTATCCTCGGTGAACGAAGCTGGAAACACGGCACTTTAGTTTGTACCCTGAAAAATTGCACTGAAAAAGGAACTGGGTATAAATGCTCCCCGGTGATCCCTGATTGGCTTTTGAGCGAAAGGGTTAAACAGTTGTGCGGTGATCATAAACACGAAAAGTTCGTTTGTCTTCCCATACCCCAAGTCCCTCGAACTTGTGCTGTGAACAATTGAACTTAAAATCACCGATGATGGATAGTCTGAGGTAGAAAATGAACAAACGAAGTGGTATTTTAACATGTGCTTACGGTACTGTAGTACTCTCGTGAACATACTGACCTTGTTTTTCAGGCTCACGCCTTTTTGGTCAGCATCTGATCAAACCAAATGGCTCATAAATCCAACTTGTTATTCTCTCGATTCGAAGCTCCATTCAGAGTTGACTGTGGGAACTGATGCGGCCTTTCAAGTTTCCTCAGTAGTATCTCAACTCACCCAGTCGAATGACTGATCCACATGACACTCTCGGTTATCGCTAGTGATCGGCTGCCTGTGATGTTCACTAAAATATGGAAGATGTAGCGACCTGGGGAACATTTTGCGTTTAAACAGAACACCTGTCTCGAGTCCACATCAAAGGGGGAAAGCTTCGAACCAGATTTCCGCTGTTGAAGGCATTAATCGAGTGGTCCATATACTTGACCATGTCGTGGTTGGAACAGATGCGTCAGCTGCGTCCAGAGCATATCGGACGTACAAAGATGAAATCCCTGAATGACGGCAAATTTACGATGCTGCAAACATCTAGTATGATTCTGGTGTTTCCCTAATTTTGATCCAAACTCTTCAAGATAATTATACCAGCACTGAAGGAGGAATGCATGCGTTCTGGTTCAAGTTTTTCCATATGTAATAAAGGGTTCTCTCCAAACGATCGGTGTGGTCTCAGTTTCTTAGCTTTCAAAATAGCTAGTTAGTTAGTTATGAAAAGCTAACACCAATTTTCTCACGATTTCCAACGCATTTTGGGATTCAATTTGTGTAGAGAAAATGTGGGTTCTGTTTCATCTATTGTTGTCATTGTCTCACTACCCAAATCGCTCATGAGATCCTGAACGAAGGTCACGTGAACACAGACAGAAGAAGCGCAGACGCACGCGCGTGAAACGCGCGGAGCGTGTTGGGTCACCGTACACACATGAGCGGGTGACTAACAGTCGAGCCAATGCACGTAAACACTGGGTTTATCAACAAGGTAATGACCTCTTTTTTTGACTGAGCTTGTTTTGCTGTCTACGTTAACGCTCCTGTTGCGTACGCCTGAGCACAGGGAGGAAAGCTGTCATCATCGCGATTGTTGCAGAGACAATCGCGACATGAATCTGCGGTGTCATGGTTCAACTTGGGAACGTTGGATTATGGGACTCGGTTTGGTGTTTCTGACGCTACTCACTTCAGGTTGGTTTGAATCAGCAAACTGCTTTCTTGGTTTTTTTAAAGATAAATTTGTTTCACATTAAACCATAGCAAATCATAGTAATGAACCATAGTTCATAACTTTTTTAAATTTCAAACTCCCGCCAGCATTTGGTGGGACAAACTGGCTAATTGACTGCAACCGAATCGTCTCCCAAGCATGCAACGGACAGACGAATTTCAAAACCTCCTCTTGCCTGTAAAATGCCCCGCATGTGATGTGTTCACGCGAATTTGCACACATTGAATTCTCTGGTCCGTTAGCTTTGGTATATCTCATATTGTTAGGCATCTTATACGATGCTCAATTTACAGTTTTCCCACTGTCAGGGGGAAATTATCACAAGAGCGGCCTCCTTCTCAACGTAGGTTACTCATCGGTTTACTCGGCTATTTGAGGATTACATCACCCACTGAAGTGACATAAGCTCCAAGCTTTTATTTGCAATATTCAGTCCCAGCTAGCCCACGTCATATACTCACTTCGGACTGTGTGATATCACACGTTAGGTTTTCGCTCTTCTCAGGCACACTGCGTACCTCGAAGCGTGCTTAACTATCCAAGATGAAGCATGTTTTGTAGAATAAATATTTTACTACTGGAGGGTTTTTGTAGCATAAAAGTACCTGAAAATATCAGTCAAGATTACACGGGCAAGCGCATCAAAACCATGGATAACGCATGAAGAAAACTACTCACAAGGTTGCTGAAAACTCTTCGACAGCCCACTGCCGGTTTCGCCCTTCTTGGGGCTCATCAAGTCCCCGAGTTTTCATCAACCTTATGTTCTACCCTACCCTTGACTGCTGTAAGATACTTGGCTGTACTACTATCTACACAGTACGTCATACCCCGCCCCCCTCAAAAAAAAACGGATTGTTTGTGAGATCGTTTGGGGTATAGCTGCGGACAAAATACCAAAGTGAGGCAGTCGCTTTCGACCAATACAAGAGTGTTGTTCTTGCATAAAACTATGTTGTGCAAAGCTCGATTTAACCTGCGTCTAGAGGTGCCTACACCAATAGAACAAGATCGAAGGCAAGGCGTCTGTAATAGATAAATATATTGTGCTTACTGTTATCCAAATAAAACTACTGGTTTACAATGTCATCAAACGTGCATGCAGAGATCGAACCCCATGTGCTGATTACTCGATTGTTTGGATTGCTTTATGACTATATTCCCTTACCCGAATTCTAAAGTCTTGCCTGACCCTAATTAGAAATAAATGGCAGAAAAGTTGACAATGGATTTGGAGAGTTGAATATATTCGCTAAAACTGAAAGGTGTTGTCACATGTTTGAAATTGAAACTACTCTGATGTGCCAATCCGCAACGAAAATGTATTGTCTCCTTTTGGAATCTCGCTTTGGCAAGGAGGGTTCAACTGAAGGAGGTGCTCACAGGTTCCTCATGAAAATGATTGCAGAAGGGTGACGAAAAAATCAACGCAGCTTGTCATCACGATAAAATGCATGGATAACTACTGACTGTTGATTACATGGAACGCCAGTGCTTTCTAACTGGGCAGGGAATGGGGATGCCCCTTTAATTTTAAATATGCTGAAAGCCGTTCAACAGCCCAATATCGATTTCCACATCTTTTTTGGGAGGAGCACCAGGCAGTTTTGCTTCTCTAGTCTTCAAAAACTGGTTTTTTGCTGAACCAGGAAGTTGTACCCAAGGCGCCAAATATATTTATTGCGGGAAAACGTGATGCTAAGGTGGTGACCACTCTGAATTCGAGGCGAATCGTCCAAAGTTGCTGCGCCTGGTCACCTCATCTTCCAGTTCATGAGATGTTCATGACAACTTTATACGTATTCTTGACGAATCTTGTCTCGAATATCGTACTAACTGAAACATGAGGCACAGTGACGCAGCACGATCAGTTGCTTGATAACACCATAAACGAGAGATTCAGATGGGTCCCACTAAGTGAGTTTTCGTGAAAACCAAATAGGTATGCGAATGCGAACATGATAAGACAAGGTTGAGGATGAAGAAACATGATCGACAAACAGTCAGAAATGATGAAAAGACCTCTGTCCGTCCAAATGCAATCAGAGTTGCAGTCCAATTCTACCATCATCCGTTTTTTGTGTCTTGATGGGTTTCAGGCCAACCAAACGCATGAGTAAAGCTACGATGGACGACGTTGCCAAGCAGCAGTTTCCCTTTGAAAATAACCCCCAGATTCCACTCCCCAAAACGATGTGTTGTAGAAGAGAGGCGAAGCTTCCTCACTCTTATTTGCCGCTATGATGAAAAGGCACCTAGAAGTCGACGATTGGTTGGAGGAGCAACGTTTCATTTGTATGAGAGTTTTTATGAAGACAAAGGTGTGGCTTTCATTTAGCCTGGATTCAGCTGAATACAGAATGACTTACTCAAGCTGGCGCCCTGTTGTTCACAGCCGCGAGAAGCCAAAATTAACGTTCACATACCGGTACTATAAAAGCTTGTCTTACACTATACGATGTATGCAAGTCCATCTATGTTAAATTTAACAGTATTCGACGTCTGTCTGTAAAGAAACCCATAGAAAAATTTGTATGAAAGGCTGACATTGTGCATCGGTTGACAGGGGTGTGCAAGACCTCCTCGTTGGCTTGCTAAAATGAAAATATCAAGGTGTTAGACTACATACAGGGGTGTGCAGGACCTCCTCGTTGACTTGGTAAAATGTAAATATCAAGATGCTAGACTACATGCCATTGCATAAGTTTTTTTGTGTGTGTCGCGTAAACAACTTTCCATTCAAGCAACTCATTCTGATCGTATGGTTGAATGGAGTTGTTAGTGCAAACCACGAAATCTGGAATGACTCCGAGTGAGAGAGCGAGAGCGAGAGGGGAAGCAAGTAAAACACAAACCAAATCGATGAGACACACGTGACGGAACAGAAAATCTACTGCTCATCTGATGTTTTACATTTGTTTGGGACTAGTGAAAATTAATTTCATTGTTGCCAACAAAAAACCTGAGTTTTGACGTGACTCCGGGTTTACTGACAAGCACATCTTGCAAGCTGATCTCCCAATTTGTACAGATATTGCCCACGTTTCTCGATAGCTCCTTCGAATCGCGCCTTCTCTAGTACGATCGGTCGAACCTTCGTGTGTCGGTTAGAGAGTTCGTTATTCTGTGGTACTTAACGTGGAAAGATGAATTTTCCCTTGCAGAACATTCTGTCCAAAAAAATTATCACATAATACCTCTGATGCGAGGATTCCTCTTGCAAAAAAGTACCCTGTGATGCAAATAAGTACGACGTTTGGAGCCGTTCGGCCACTTTTTTCTTTATATTACAAAAACCTGGAATTAATGATACCTTAACTATAATTTGCGAAGAAAAATGTTTTACCGATGAACAAAATCGTTAAGATATATTAAGCCCAAAATTTCTTGGATTCAGGAACTTGTGTGCGCGGTAAAGTGCATACGTTGATCAACTGTATGAAAAAAGTTCAAAAACATGGCGTTTGAGTGCACTGGAGCAAACGGAGTTGGGTGATATTCATGCAAAATGTAGCGCGATATGCAGAGACAAATCGAACCTCTGAGCTAAAATCGTTCTAGCTGTTATTCTTCCCAGATAAATTTTTCACGAACTTCCAGGTGGATCATCAGCTAGCCAAGTCACCGGGATGAACGTGGTTTAACTCTTGTACTACTACAGTGTACTTATTGCGAACTTTCGTGTGAGTTTACCTAATTCCCAGAGATCTACGCATAGCGATTATAAGTCCGATCAATTTTCACGGGAAGTTACTCGGCGAATTTTCTAATCCAGGGTTTTTAAAAAAGCCGTTCCTATGCTTGATCGTTCTAAATGCCTTGTAGATTTATTTCTGAATCGAAGCGAAAAAAGGCAATACGGTCAGTATAACTTAAGGATATCCACGCTCCAGGTCCTACAGCGCTATGGCTCAAGGGTTAGAGCGTAAATTTACTGACTGGAAGGTTAGTGCATCGAATCCGACTTCTACATTTCGGCTTCCTCTGTCTAGGCTTGGGCAACCTAGTAGTTTCCCATCCCCCGTGATTCCTTCCAGTGGAATGGCAGTTAGGCACCGAAATGGTGCATAAGTTGAACAAGGCGTCTTACGAGTAAACTTATGGGAATCAAATGTCCCTGGGCTGATCCGTGTGTTATTTCAACAAAGATGGAGAAGGAACCATGTGTGGAGTTTTTGTGGTGATCAAGGTTTTCCTTTTAGCTTGGGTCGCTCTCGGCCCTTCAGCAATAATTTGTTCCACTTACAAGACAAATTTCCGAAGCTCCTTACTCCGCTGAGAAAGAACCGCGTCGAACACCACGGAAAGCGGAGTTAGTTTCGGAGCTGGAACGCGCAAACTTGACAAACGAGAGCTTCCGCCATGGATCTTCGAAACTTTGGTGTGCTTTTAAAGGGTTTTTTGTTAGTATGGAAGTAAACCACCGGTCACTAGAAAGTGCGGAAAGGAAACATGGGGGTCACATTCATGCAAAGAATGTTGCAGATTGCAAAATCTATGTCGAGGGTTTCCAACACTGGCCTCTATGTGCATTTTTCGGTGTTAAGATTTAGTACACTACTCACAAGGTTGCTGAAATTTCTTCGACAGCCCACGTTCGGTTTCGCCCTTTTTGGGCTCATTGGAGGCTCAACAGGTAGTCGATCCCCGAGTTTCCGTCAACCTTAGGTTCTGTGTGAACCCAGATTGCACGAACTTATTGAACTGCACTCATTTGCAACGAGCGTTGCACCTGGGATCCTTGTGATTCTTTGCCAAAACCAAATTTGCTTGCATGTGAGTGCATTTCGTTATCCTTCCATTTAAACTTTTAAGTGAAATCAGCCTCGGTGGTGCAATGCTCTTCGACAGAGCTGCACCAGCCAATAGATGCAAAAGAAATTTGTGAATTTAATGGCTGACATGGAACTGGTAAACTCAGGAAGAATTTCCGAGTACGTTAAGTCAGTTTTCTATCAGTGTTCAGGATAGTTCATAATGGTTCACCTGTACATCTTTGCCAGCAAGGCTTGCCATTCTGGACCATTCAGGAACGGCGGAAATCGTAGGAATTATGGTGGTTGATTCCCTCGGTTATACCGAATGTACCCAAATGCGATCGATTCAGTCTTCAGGCAGCTGTTTTATTCTGCGATACTTTGCCAGCTAGTACATTATTACACATATATTTACACACATATTGTATACTGTTCAAATGATTTCACACAGCCAGTGATGAAAACATCAATGACAAACAAAGCTTACTCAGACGCATCCAAACAAGCAGGTGTTCAATTCTCTGCTGCACCAAAATTGGATCTCGTTTTCTCAATACATAAAACGTGTGTTCGATCGACAGGAAACAAAAAAAGCGATGCTCACAAAATGCTTCCCCTAAAAAAACAAGTAATATTGATTTTCATTTGAAATAATTCCATTCGAAGAGCTGATGATTCATTTGCTGTTCAGCTCTGAGTAGGATGGAATGAGCTGTTTACCATTTTGTATTGGCTACTCTCCTCAGAAGCGAAAAGAGAAAAGAGAGTAGTCAAATTAAGCGAAGCAACTCACATGATCTGGCACGGTACCCTCTGTGGTCTGATTGAATTAGCAGCGGTTCACAGCCCTATAAGTTTTGAGATTCTACACCGAGTGTGAAGATAATCCAAGGCTTACTATCTTCAGTGACTAGGGACTGCACCCCATGACATTCAGTCAATTTATCTGGCGAAAGTAATGTGCATAGTCACTATGCAGTCGCCCATTTTCCACACAGGATACTACCTGTGACCTGTACTCAAAACTAGGCTATCAGAAGCCGAATAAATGAAAGGTCGGCCGTGGCAGGTTTGTGTCACCACCTATGATCAAGGCTTCAACGTGGAGATAACAGGGTAACTTGCAGAGAATCCAAGGTTTGGAACCATGCCTAAACGAACTTTTGTGACGTCGTGATAGACTTTGCACATGGGTCATTCGTTTTTGCCTTCTCAGAATTCCTGAGCTAAAATTTTGATAACGGCATCATGGGGGCTGTTTAATTGATATTAGAAGTCATCAGCACTGCGTGTCTGAGAAGAATCAAGAAGATCTCGAACCTGTAAACTCCCGGATAGTGGTTTGAGCTCTTGGTCCTTCTGTTCCGAACGAATTTTCAGCAAAATTCGATATAAGCTGGAGGGTGTAATCTCATCAAAATTCCAAAATTCAGTCACATCATCAAAAAGAACAGGCTGTTACACCGATGATCATTCACGTCGGTCAAGAAAACACTATCAGATAGACACTCCATTCCGTTTTATTGCTAGCCTCTTCATTTGAATTGGTGGGTCGTTGCCATTTCACACGACACTTCTGGTGGAAGCTACTGGGTCTTCGCAGATGAAGTTCAGTAGATTCGACAGCAAAGGGTTTGTTCTATCGAGTGGCCTTGAAGTGATTTGGTATCATTCAAAAGACTACACTGAAAGATTCGGCTGGATACATCTTGAACCTGGAGAGATTAACGTGATTTTTTGAAGGGTTATCCTGAAAAAAGCCCTTCCGACAGCTACTCAGGCTCCATTGTGGATTACTGTACACCAGTAAAGTCCTCTACCAAAATGTTTCAGACAGTCACGACTAATACACAAGAAACCTATTGATCATTCAAACCGTTCCCTGAAGACATTGGCCTTCGGCAAGTCTCTATAGCTTTCAAACTTGATTTCTTACTGCTCCGGGTTCATGTGGGTGACAATTAGACGCGGTTGTTGCCGGCGATATAGACACATCGACACCGTGATCACACAATCACGTCGATTAGAACCGCTCGGCGCTCATCCTTTATTCCACAACTGAGTGATTTACACAACCGGCTCAATCGAGTTTTGTGCTACTGTGCACGAAAGATTCAAATTATTGTTGCACACAAGTTATCGGTTTTGTTTACTTGGTGAACTCGAAGTCCTTAAAGTTGTTCCAATCCAACATGACTTTTGGACCACGAAGACTGTGAGGTGAGTTTGTATTGATCAAAGTGATGGATAGCGGAATGACTTCCGAGTTGAATGAATTTTGGGATCTGCCTTCATGAAATCAGATACGGGATGTGTTCCCTATTGTTACCGAAGCGCGGCCATCTGCTCCAGGTTCCCAAATATTCGGTGAACAAAACTTTTGGCATCCGGAAGCAGTGTATAGCAAGTATGCGGTTTTTACAGTTGGTGTTGACGATGAAATGAATTCTGACCAGAGAGGCCGCCGATGGAAGACTGCCTCGTCACTGTACTTGATCTAAAAACTTAATACGCCTCTGGGAATTTCGCAAGGCATTCTGGTTCCAGCAAAAACAGTCGGTCTTCTGCGAAGCACAAATTCCTGAACAAACGGTTGAATTTAGGCTCATCTGACCATATTTACTGAGCGCTCTAGTCAGCGATAAGTAAACCTCGGGACAACTCCTTTTAGATGCATTCGAAGGTCAAACATATCTTTCAAATGCACATAAAATTGAAGAACTAAACAGCAGTGAGATTAATAAGGCAGTACTATAATTTACCTCAAGCCCCTGGTTTATGTTTTCAGTTGATTGCTGAGAAGCTGTCAGAAACGGAGTTTTTCAAGTCCTCTAAGTTCTTGTATACTTTCAAATGCTCTGTTGTGGTGAGCTAAAAGCTTGGATATCGCTGGAGATCTGAATGCAAAAGTGGACAGGCTTAGTGCATTTGAGACTCAGTCAGGAGGTCAACATAGATTAGATTCGGAACGAACCGACTACAGTCGCTCCAGCTATGTGCCGACCGCACGCTGTTTTTATACAGTACTGACTTCAGAAATAACCGAAGTCGAGTAACCACATGGTGTTCCAACGGCGTGCCTTCCGCGAACCCAAATCGATCACAGTGCAATCCGTTGCCAATGGCGCGGGTCGGTAACTAACTGCCGGTCGTTTTGGAACACATTTGTGAATTCTAACGACGCACTCGTCCAGAGTTGCTTCTCCTTTTGTTTTCCGGGGCCACGTAAGTTGTGGAAAAATCGCCTTGCAACTGAAAAACTGGCAGATCTGGATGTTAGAAGAATTTACCAGAATCTTCCTCCAGGGTCTTCCAAATTCATCCTCCAAAAGACTTGGCTGCACACTGGGACGAGATTGCCATCTGTTTGCACAGTACCGGGAGTTTTGCTTCTGGCACGGCGCTACCAGTTTCACTCAAGCACTGGATATCAGCCCAAAACGGCGACAATGCTTAAATTTCGGTGAAATCTCTCAGTCGATGCGTGGAAATATCAGACATCAAGTGAAAGTCAGTGTGCGAACCGACCGTGAAGTCTAGTGTACACAGAAATCAAAGGAAATGGAAGAGGCTTACAAATCCGGTAATGCCCGAAGATAATTTAAGTTGATCCGCGTGACCGGTCCCATGGATCAGAAGGGAGTGGCGGAATAACGAAGAACGCCTCGACCGGTGGGCCGATGTTGGCCACCAGCTGCCACACATCTGCAGCCCACAGTTGAGGTAGGACCCTGAACGTGGAACCACCCACAGCCTCGAATGTGTATGACTATATTTTTTTCTCTCGAATGCCACACAGCTTCAGGTCCGGATTGCCTCCAACTGGCATTGCTCAAAGATGGCAATGAAATCTCCAGTCAGTGCTTGTCTGATATGTTTGCCTACAACAAGCAAGAGAAGACCTCCAAGAAAACTGGGTCCAGTCGGCGGTAATGCCGACTTTCAAAAAAAGCAGCTCGTAGTGCGTGTTGTCACCACAGGGGAGATCAGCTTGACCCCGACTGTAACGAGACTGTTGGCGTCACTTCTGCATCGTCGCCTTGTGGTGGCTCGCGAGACACTGATTCGATGGCAGCAAGCGGGATTCCGGCCTTGTAGGGGTTGTGCTGACCAAATCTTCACACTCCGTCAGGTGCCATAACAACGTCATACGTATAAGCGACCCACACTAATAGGATCCCTGGATTTCCAAAGAGTATTCGACTTGGTTGATCGGTCTATTCTCCTTGACACGCTTTTCCATCAAAGAACATTCTGCAAGTTTATGAACATATTATCTTGCTTGTATTCTCGTAAGGACGTATGGGAGTATAT